TGTGGCTCTGCCAATCAAGGAGGCCAAGGGTTCTTACGTGGCATGTAGGGAGGGTGGTTCAGAGAGGCATCCCTGCAGCCTGGATGAACTGCCCCATTCACGAAGCTCGATGGTTCATTCATATCCTAGAAATGCCAAACACAGATATACCTCACTTTTTAAGAAAATTACATCCTGCCAATTCTGAGACAAGGAAGCAATGAATTAATTGTTCAACATCCAGTAATCCCTGTAGATGTTAGCCCTGGGATGTTCATCAAATCCTGGTAAGAACTGGCTAGAGAGATTAATTCACCCCTACAGAACAACTGGCTAAAGGATTAAAAAAAAAAAAAAAATCTCTCTGCCAGGTGCAGTGGCTCACGCCAGTAATCCCAGCACTTTAGGAGGCCGAGGCGCGTGGATCACAAGTTCAAGAGTTTGAGAGCAACTTGGCCAGATGGTGAAAACTTGTCTCTATTAAAAATAAAAAAAAATTAGCTGGGCATGGTGGTGGGTGTCTGTAATCCAAGCTACTCAGGCGGCCAAGGCAGGAGAATTGCTCTAACCCAGGAGGCGGAGGTTGCAGGAAGCCAAGATCCTGCCACCACACTCTAGCCTGGGTGACAGAGCAAGACTCCATCTGAAAAACAACAATAACAAAAACCTCTCTCAGGGTGAGTGTGAGGCAATCAAAGTTCCAAGAAATTCCTAGTAAATTGTCTCAGAGGTTTTATAGGAACTTCAGGTCCAGTACAAGGTGTGTAGGCTATGAGGGCTGTTCCACTCTGAGAGGAGGAAGTGTCTGACATGTCCAAAGTCTTCCTTGGACAATGATTATCCTCTTGACTGAAGGTCAGTGGTACATAGACTTAGGCACACAAAGATACACAAGTGCCACAGGTACACAGACATACACACACATACTTACAATCCATATGCCATCAAACTTCAAGCTCCTCTCTGGATTCTGTGGATTGTTGTATAGTTCTTCTATTTCCCTCTTCCACCACTTGGCAGTTGAATTACGGAAAAAGTCTGGGAAAGCCACATAAGCTCGATACAGCTATAAAAAGTAAATATAATTAGTTTGTCCCACACAAATATATTCGACAGCAAACAGGCACTTACTGAGAATGCAATTCACACAAAGACCTGGACTACATGGTGACAGACGTCCTGAACAGGGCCTATAATGTTACTGGTTTATTAGAGAAATGTAGAATGAAAAGAGAAATTAGTGCTATTTGCACACCTCCCTAGCATTTGGAAGACATCCAAAAACTCTTCTCTTCATATCAACCTAGTTGATAACAATCAACGCCCAGAACTCACGACCTCATGCATTAGATGCCCAACCCTCAACGTCAATCCTGCCATTTCCTAAGCACTCCTCAAAGAAACAAAGCCACAGAGAGACTGCAGACATCAGATGCATGGTAATAGGCTGGGAAGAAACACCCAAGGAGTCCCTCCTATGTCATTCCCATTGAGAGAGGGGAGGAAGTCATAAGATTACATTTCAGGATATTGGACTACCCAGTACACATCTGTGTTCTCTACAGTTTCAGAATCACATGAAAGCTACAGCTGTGTGTAACATAAATTGAGAGGACTTAAAGAGGGCTTTCAACTTCCTCTCATTTTCATCTTCCCTCAGATAATAAAAGCAGTGTTTTCATTTTAACATGAAAGTCGGATTCAAGATACAACTTCTTAACAATAGTAGATTTTTGAGAGCAAGAAGTTAGTTTGATATTCTTCTGAGTGATATTTATATTTAGCTTAGAACCTGACCCAAAATATATAACCAGTGTTTAACAGTGGGTTCACACCACTTGAAGCAGTAAATAAATATCCATACATTTTTATATATTCATGTTGCTTGTTATGGTACATTCCGGTCCTCTGTATGTCTCAGTAAATAGCCTCCTCTATGCTAATCATGGCATTGTAAGAGTTAAAGAGCTAAGGAATTCTGTTGAGAAGGGTGGGGGAGGTCTAGGGGAACTCCAGTTCTTATACACAAGAGACAAAAGGCAATTAGGAATCGATATGTCTAGATAAGAGGCAACAAGGGAACATAAGAAAACAGAAACAGATCAGCCTACATGGGTCTGGCTGTCAGGGATGTGAGAAGATAGTGGGTTACATCATGGAGAATCTTAAGGGCCGTGCCAGGGGTGCCCGTTGTTAGGAAATGGAGGTAGAAACCATGAAACCTGACAAAGAGAACCTTTCACCAGAAACAGAGAGCTCCAGATCATACAGGGTTAGAAACAATGGGATGGGTGGGCGATGGAGAGTTAGAGTGCCGGCCACATCTGAGTTAGAATTGTATCCCATATGGGATGCACATGGGGAGCCTGGCCAGCAGTGATGTATGAACTTCCCTAAGCACTGCTCAGATGACCCCTATCAATCAATAAAAATGTTCTGCCATTCTCCAAGGTGCTGGCTTGCCTTACACCTGTCCATATTCAAGTGTTGCCTTTGTGGTTTCTGCCTTCACTTTCTCCAGTCTTCACACAGTGATGCACCCACCCACACACTGGGCCTCGGGACCACTTAGCACTCTTTTTGTAGCACACTGCATGCTACAAAATGCAATTCCTAGATCCCCCCACAGCTTATTGAATCAAATCGCTGTAGCTTTGGGCTCAGAAATCTGCTTTTCATAGGCTTCTTGGCTGTTTGTTTTATATTCAGTGAAGCAGACCTGGACATGAGTTGCTTCATCCTCACCAGCTTCATCGTGTAGGTCTCACTATTAACAATATAAACATTAGGTTGGTGCAAAGGTAACTGCAGTTTTTGTCATCATTTTTAATACCTTTCAATGGCAAACACCACAATTACCTTTGCACCAATATAAAACTGATAACTTTTCTATCATAAAACACCAACATAAAACTTATAACCAAGAATCTCTTATGAGCTAACTCACAGATTCTGTGACCCCCTAATGAAGTGTTTCTCATTAGGAGTACAACTGGCATTTGACGTGAGATTTTGTGTGGAGAATTCCCTTCAATCAGAGTTATGGCCATCCCTCCCCATTGCCCACTGAATGCCACTTGGTATCACTATGATAAACAACACTGCCCTCAGATTTCCAAATGGCCTCAGGATGGCAGTGTTGCCCCTACTGGCTGATGAACTGTGGGACTGATAAAAGCCAGGAAGCCCATGAGCCTGAACTTCTCTAGCTGGGCAGGTTCCTGTGTCCATGTGGGGTGGTTTACCACTAAGCTTCAAGTGATTTTCTGTTAGAAATGACTAGAGGACAGGAAGCTATGTCTTTTTCCTTGAACACTATAGATAGATAGATAGATAGATAGATAGATAGATAGATAGATAGAATGGATTGGATGGATTGGATTGATATGGTGGGTAGATGAACATAAATAGATAAGTGTTAGAGTTTAGAGTGGGTGGGTAGAGAGATAGATAGGGTGGATAGATAGATGGGGTGGATGGATAGGAGGGATAAATGGATGGATGGATGGATGGATGGATAGATAGTGTTAGAACGTGGAGTGGGTGGATGGATGGATGGATAGACAGATAGAAGATAAACAGATAGAGTGGGTAGATAGAAGATAGATAGATACAGAGTGGGTAGGTAGATAGGGTGGGTGGATGGATGGATGGATAGACAGAGATAGATTTTGGGTAGATAGATAGATTTAGATAGGGTGGGTAGATGACTAGAGGTAGATGACTAGATATAGATGATAGATAGACAGATAGGATGGATGGAGGTAGATAGATAGATAGATAGGATGGATATAGAGACAGATGGATGGAGGATGGATTTGGATAGATAGGGTGGGTGGATGAATATATATATGTTTATACATACATACATATATATATATTAGAGAGAGAGACAGGCAGACGGACAGGATGGATGGATAGACAGACTGACTGACAGACAGATAGAGTGGATGGATAAATGATAGATACAATAGGTGGATGAATATATGGATGGATAAAGAGACAGAGAGAGAGAGAGAGAGAGAGAGACGGTATCCGGATAGATAAAGAGACAAACATATACACAGTGTCTGGATGGAGGGATAGATGGATGGGTGGATAGACAGATAGACAGATAGATAAACAGAGTGCATAGAGATAAATAGAGAGATAGATAGATATAGATGATAGATAGATAGACAGACAGATTGATAGATGATAGACACAGATAGATAATAGGTAGATAGAGGATAGATAAATAGAGAGATGGATAGTGAGTGAGTGAGAGAGAGAGAGAGAGAGGGAGAGAGACAGATAGAGGTTAGATACTTGTTCCATAATAGACAAATGGAAAACAGCCTTGAACTGAGTTTGACTCGTTCTTGCAAGTCTTCAAAACGTGCCCCAGCTTCTGTTTTATTTGTTTCGTTTTACTGAATCTACTGACAGTAAATTAAGGCATACAGTCCAATAGCCAAGCAGCCTGGTCCCAAGTGTGTCGCATTTTAAATCAAGAGTGCTACTGCTGCCAACTTGCTCTGGGATCCAGGAGGTCAGAGACTGACACCAGAGAACTACGCATCACTGGCTTGCAGTGCCCTCTGTGCTCACTACCCCATTGGAGCTGTCCCAGGCCTCAGCCTCAGACTCCACATTGTGAGCTTCTGTCTAATATCAGCCTTTCCCTTTAGGACTCACCATTTGACCTGAAAACCAACTTATCTGGATAAGGCAGGAATATTTGGCCTGACCCCTGCCAGTCACATTCCTGGTGACTGGAATGTTTCTCCTGCACCTCTGTCCACGTACTACGATCTTACATTACATAGAGAGAACTCCCAAAAGAGGTCTTCACCCTGGGCTTCTGAGTGGCTGCTACCTGAATTTACAACGGTTGGGATTTGTTTCCACAATATGGATATTTGTCTGATCAATACTTGATCTTGACAGAGTACCTAGACACTACAACATATACCACATTGCTGACTGCACAGGCCAGCTTCTTCGTCCCTTCAATTCCTGGAAGATGTCCTAGAAATAAGCCTTTTCCTTGTCTGCTCAGCTCTTCTGTGGAGGTCACATAGGCTACACAGGCCCTGCTACAATTCCTACCCAGAAAGAATAACCATTATTGAAGAACAGCTCAAGAGGTCAGGCAGATACTTGCTCTCCAGGAGCTCCTCGGCCCCACCCTGAAAGCCCTGCCTATGGGTACTGCCACAACCATGGATAGTCAACCATACAGGCTGCATCAGTTCAGGAGACACACATCTTGGCCAGAGGGCAGGGCTGTAGGCTTTGTAGACCAGTAAGGAACCATGTATTCTTTCAGGCAAGAAATGCTTAATCTGGAAAAAATTCAGGTCCAGAAGCATGGGCTTCCTAGATCCTTTGCAAGCAAAAAACTGTTCCCAGGAAAGAGCAAGTTTTACAATGAGGCTGGAAACTGTGAGGTAAAAGCAAAGTTGAGAAACACAAGGAAGGACTGGGCTCAGGGGAGGACTTGTAAGTGTGAAGATGGAGAAACCTGTTCATGGGGGAAAAAATATGTACGAAGGAACAGACCTCATCAGTCTTCGAAGGCTGAAGACTGCTTAGAAGGGATGCCCAGCACAGCAATAATAAGTATACTAGTTTAGAGAAAAGATGGCACTTCTTGGAGGTATTCCCCAGTGAAAATTTCTTGGGTCTTTGGAATGTGACAGCCTTGGAACTGAAATCACCACTCTGTCACCTAAAACTGTGAACAAGTAATTTGAGCTCTCTGGTCTTAAATCCCAAGTATAATAATACATATCTACATCCCAGTGGGCAGTAAAATATTACTACATATAAAGTAATGGGCACACAGACTGACACCCAAGAAACATCCCCTAAGTGTTTCCCCCTTGCCAAGCTCATGTTCATGGTACAGGCATGTCCAGAATCACAGGTACGGCTGCCCCTTTCTAGAAACCCAGACTCCACCCAAATCTGCAAAGACCCTTTTACCTCCACTTGACTGTCCCAGTCTAGAGACCCATTCACAACAACATCAGGAAAATCAGGCCAGACCTGTGGAGAGAAACATGTTCAGCAGCAATGCACTAGACAGTTCCCTTACAGAGTATTTCCTAAGAAATTATTATATAAACCATGTTCCTAGCAGCAATAATACTTTGATCATCATGTAAGATTGACATAAAAGAAAAGTGAATTCCCTAATGCATCACATTACTTTAAAAGTCATTAACTGTATCAACAGATATGGATTGAGAAAATGAGAGCTTCTGACCTCGGAGCCAAAATAGAAAATGCCAAAAATGACATAGATAGGCATATGACCCACTAACAGTGACCCACCCTCAGGTTAAGGATCAGTGGATTGTCGTTCAGAGTATACCTTTCCCCAGACAATGTCTCCATCATTTGGGTATTTGATGAAGACGTCATCCTCCATGCCCCGAGTGAAGGCAGGATAGGGCTGTGTCTCATTGCCAGAAATGGCTGGATCCTGAAATCAAAGCATAAGTCAGTTGGGAAAACCAAAGCCAGAGAATGAGGAGAAACAGAATAAAAGAGAACTCCTCCAGGGAACTCCCTAGCTTCTACCTGAACTGTAGAGTTTCTGAGAGTCCTGGGAAATACATGTTTCTTCTAGAGCTTCAATGTATCTACTTGTAACATGGAAACAAAGCTTTCTCCACCAAAGCCCATACCTGCTCCCAAACAGAATGCACACATTCACATCAGGACTAACCAGAATGAGGATGACCCGCATCCCGTCAGCCTTCATGCGATTGATCAGAGCTGGAAACCCAGCAAACTTGGGGCTGAGGGTGAAGTCCAGCTGCCGCTCCATGTAGTCGATGTCTGAGTACTGCACGTCCTGCGGGAGGACACGGGAAGTGAGTGGCTGCTGTATTTCAGACAGCTTCTTGTACATGCTTTCAAAACCCAGCTCTGCCACGTGTTTGGTATAGCTTCTGGGAAATTCACTCAATTTTTCAAATTTTCAGTGATAAACTAGAAAAAAAAAAATCTAAGTCTGTACCAAATAGGATGAGAATGCCTCTCTAGCATGGCTCTTCTTAGGATACATAAATTAACAAGGATTGGAAAGTGCTTTGTAAACTGCCACTATCAGGCGTGATTGTGATGACCTCCTCCAAGAGGCTGCCCCTGGTATCAGAGGTGCATGTTTAGAAAAAATTATGTTAACTACCCAGGGCTAATACAACATGGATGGCAAATCTACTGCAAAACAAAACAAAGCAACAATGTATAGTAGCTTTGGAATACCCAATCTTGAGGGTGATCAGACACAACCTTATTCTGGAGAATGAAATATTGCACTTCACTATCCACTAATGGAAACACTATGTACCGCTAATGGAACTATTGTAAACAGTAGAAAAGTAGAATGAAATTAAATATGCTATGGTTCATGGGGTCAATTCTTTGATAACTGGTTCCCCTCCCATCCGCCAGTGAAGGATAAGGCTTATTTCCATATGTACATCCTCTGAAAACCCATCCCAGGATCTGTGTCACCCATCAGTGATTAACTCAGAGATGATGGGACACTGAGTTACAGCACCAGGGCTGCAGGAACTGATGTCATATCCACATATACAATGGTCTGACTGTTTGCAGTTAGTTTTTTTTTTTTTTTTTTCCAAGAATTAAGTAAAAGAACTGAGGTATATCATTTATTCTTATGGAACAAAGGACGTTTTGACTAAGGTTTGGAAGTCATGTCAAAGAAATGGAAGGAAGCATGAGGTGGCAGAAAGAGCCTGGGGCCAGCCTATGTCCCCTTCCTTTGGCAAATCACAGTGAGTCTTGAGCTACCATCTCTAGAAGATGGAAACAAGGACCCTTAACTGTATTACCATGCTGGGGTGAGGCTAACTGTGATATTGTCTGAAAAAGAATGTTATGTCTTTATAGAATCCCACAAACATTAGACAAATGAACCCAGACACAGAGGCACTGGGCTAGTTTTCAAACTCCAGAGCCATGACTGAGAACGTACATAAGGGATCTGGGCGGCCACCATCTCATCATACAAGCTGGCGATCTCAGAGTCGTTCTGGTATCCATAGCGACACAGCTGGAAGCCCAAAGACCAGTAAGGGACCATCACAGGCCGGCCGATCAACTAGAAAATAGACAGGAAACATTCGTCCTCAGAACAGAAACACCAGATTGAAGTTTTTCAGGAAGTAATAAGAATATTTTTCCAGGCCCCAAGCTAGACAACTAACAAATTCAAATCCAGACCAAATCTGACAGGATATAGGGCCACTGGGATTCTTGGAGAAAGCTTTCTGCTAGACTTGAGCTCCTTCTTTAAAATTCTGGAAAAGCTGATTTCACTCCATTTCTAAAGTCACTGTAGGTAACTGGTTAAGAAGCTTGAAATCTGAGGTAAAATGTCTGGCTTAGCATATAGGCTCCAGTCCTGCCAGTTGTTTGACCTTAGGCAAAGGTTCAGTAACATTTTAGTGCTTTAGTTTCTTCATCTGTAAATAAGGGAAAATAATGGTATCTGCCTCGTAGTTTTTTTATGGGGACTGAATGAGTTATTATGGGTGAACTGTTCTAACGTGCAGCAAGTAATCAATAAGTGATGTACAGTAGGCAGTACATAGCATTTGCTGCTGCTGCCACCGCCACCTCAGTCACCACCACCATCATCACGATTTTCACCATCACCACCAGGCCACCATCATACATCCCCACGGTCATTATCATTATCATCACCACCACCCCACTACCGCCCCACCAGCATCCCCACCATCACCACTATCATCACAAATACTACCACAAACACCACACTCCTCACACCAACCCACAGACACTATCACTACCACCACCATAACCACTACCACCATCATCACCATCAATACCACAAACACCAACCATCACCACCCCAACCATCGCCCACTATCATCCCAACCACTACCACCAACACCACACTTCTCATACCACCCCACGGTCACCACCACTACCACCACAACCATCATCACCATCACTACCACAAACACCAACCATCACCACCCCAACCATCACCACTATCATCACAAACGTTACCACCAACACCACACCCCTCACACCAACCCAGTCACCAACACTACCACCATGATAACAACCACCACCGTCATCACCACCACTAACACCATCACCACTCCCACCATCATCACCATCACCACCACTATCTCCATCACAGCAACACACCCATCACCTCGACTACCACCACAACCGCCAACACCATCACCACCCCCCAATATACTCACCATCACCACCACTACCACTACTGCAACCATCACTATCACTATTCTCACATCACTATCACCACTGTCACCCCCTACTGCCATCATCACCATCACCAACACCATAACCACAATTACTACTGCCACATTACTATGGCTACCATCACCACTACTCATACCACTATTACTTCTGCTACTCTGCAGTGCTTACAGAGGCTATCAATTTAATGGTCATTAGAATGTATCAATTTTTCCTTACTCTATAATCTCTCTCCAAGAAAGACCAGTTATCATCCGAGAGTTATACGAAAGAATGAGGGCTCTGGTACACAGACTGTGCTGTATAAGTACTTGATAAACTATTGGATTTCCCCCTACCTCAGTGTACTGCTGGGTGACAAGCTCTGGAGTTGGCCCCAAGAACACATAAAAGTCCAGAACTCCCCCTGTGGTACGATATGTCAAGGCAGGCAGGGGCTGGAACGTCACATCTGAAAATGAAGAAAAATGCTAACACAGCTGGAAACCTTCCAGGTTAGGAATTGTATCTGAAATCTACACCTTCTCCATTTTCCTGTACCCTGCCTATCACAGAGTGGTAAGATGGGGCATTTTTCATCATACACACACAGAACTGAAGAAGTTAAGTGGAAGTCTACAGTTCCCATTCCTGGGTTTGTTTCCCTTTGGTGTGCTTTATGTTTGTCTTTCTACTTCTAAATTTATTATTCTTACATTTCAACTTTTATTTTAGATAAGGAGATACACATGCAGGTTTGTTACATGAGAATATTGCACAATGCTAAATTTTAGGGTAGGGATCCCATTATCCAGATAGTGAGCATCGTATCTGATAGGTAATTTTTCAACAAACCATACACTCTTATACCCCCAGACTAATTTCTCTGACCCATAGTTGTACCCTCATTCGAATTATGTAACTGGCTCCCACCTCCAAGATATTTGGGACACACTTGGTGTTACTAACCCTTTTTATGTAATGTTTGCCAAAATGAGAGTTGTGTTAAATCTTCTTATCACATGACATTAGACTGAAATAAACAGAAAGGTTAAATGCACGAAAAATAAAAAACAATGCCTGTAAAATGAAAATTTTCACTTCAAAAGTCTGTTAGGCCAAACCCATTCTAAATTGACTCAAGAATGACTTTTACCCCCCAAAATAAGAAAAGTGCTAGATGGCCTTACCCATGGCATTGCTGTTCAGCAGGAGCACTCCATGGGCACTGCCGTCCTCCTCCAGTCCCATGTAGTAGGGGTGGACACCATAGGAATTCTTCTTGTACTGGGGAGTCATGGAGAGAAGCAGTAGGAGTTTAAAAGGCATTACGCCTGAGAATGAAACTCAACAAAACTGTGCTTGCTAAGATGGGTCTCGTTTTCTCCAGGAAATAAATAAACACAGGAAACAAAGAAGCCTGAGAATTGGCCCACTCGTCTAAAAGCAGAATCTGACGACCAAGTGGAGTTTGGGAAGATGAACCCCAAAACATGCTCAGCGGAGGTGGAGAAAAGCAGAGACACAGAACCCAAACGCTCTGTCCTTACCCCTGGGGGCTGGTCTCGGGAGAACATCCCCCACGTGTGCCAATTCAAGTCTCTCCTGTAGGACGTGTGCTCAGTTTCCCCAAAGCCATAGAGGTACTTGGAGGGAAGGCGGGCGGAGATGCGGATAAACATGTCATTGAAGGTGAAGCCAAGGAGCTGAGAGTCCCAACTGCAACACAAAAGGCAGATTTGAAAAAGAAAATGGGCTTTTCTCTCTGCTTCTAGAGCTGACTTTTCAAGGACAGCAGAATGTTTGATTCCTACCCAAAACCTGTTTCATCTCCAAAACAAAATATAAACTCAATTTGATTAAAATATCATAGATATCCTCACTAAAAGCCCAGAAGTTATTCTTCATTCTTCTGTTTCCCTCTATCACTGCCTCCTTTCAGTGTTCTCCACGATACAAATCCAGGCACTCCTCACAATATAAATGTCAGGTGCGACCACTCCACACCAACACCCCCTTCCACTCTTGCACCCCTCAGTGTATTTTGTTCATAGCACTCAAAGTGATATTCCTACAAGGATCTCACCTCATGTCCTCCCTGTTTGCACTTCTTCCACGTTTTCGCCTGAAAACATCTTATGAAGTCTTCCAGGCTGCCCCTGATCTGAAAACTACCTTGCATCACAGCTTCATCTCCCAGCACTCACCCGCTTATTTGTGCACTGCTCCATCCATACAAGACTTCTTCTATTCCTTAGAATGCCAGCATGCTCATCTCATGGCCTATCTACTTCCTAGTCCCTCTGTCTAAAGGTGCTCTTTCCCTTCTCCCTGTCTTATATGGGTGGCTCCTTCTCATCCAGGTCCTATTACAATGTCACCCTCTCAGCAAGATCTACTCTGATTACAATATCAGAAGCCGTAACCACATCATAACTCTCAATTACCCTGCTCTTTCACCTACACAGCAGTTATCATTCTCCCAACCTGCTTTCTACACTGTAATTAAATTACCTTTGTTATTTACTTCTTATGTTTTTGTCATGAGAAAAGAAACCTCAGCTGTCTATAAGGAGCAGCCCGTAACCTAGAGAAGGCACCCCATAAACATTTGTTAGATGAATCCTCAGGCACACTCAACCGCCTCAGTAATTATATCCAGAATGCTAAAGATTTCCCATAAGAACAGGTCTAAAGGAAACAACTCATTCATGGATCTGGAAGTGGACGATGTGACACTTTGAAACAGGACATCTCCAAAGACAATGGACCTGACAGTGAATGTACAGGTAGCCATCAACTCTGAGTCACACTAGAGGCCACTCACATTATAGTGCCCGTACTCTTCCGGCGAATTTCAATCCCAAATGGATTCTTCTTAATGAGGACGTCATAGAGTTGACCCTCGGGGCTGCTGGATGGAATCCTGGGTATGTTCAGAGGGACTGGGACTTCATACCGATTGTTATTGGGATCATAAATCTAGGCCAGATGAAATAGATGTTAGGCAAATATAGTACTCTTGAAACCTATACCCTTGGCAGAACATTTTTTATTTTTGGACAAAAAGTTTAGATGCTATGTTTCTGTCTTCTTTAAGTTCATGATACCTGAGATGTAATTAATATGTCAAATAACAATTTCAGACTTAACATTTTTCTCTGAGTCTGTCATATCTCATTAGTAAGGCCTCTATTATCATAATGTACTCAATGGGACACTGGTCCTAACTTGGAAAATCATTCTGTAATCAGTGTAATATTTAAGAATATGTTATTTGTTACTCTGTGTGGGTATATAAGTATATATAAATACCTGAAAACTTTTCTGAATTGAAAAAAAAACCTGTCTCCCAAAAATAAAATCTATTTGATTAAAGTAATCATAATGTTCTTGCTGAAAGTGGTATCTAAACTGATTCATGAGTACCTGCTACATCCCTGCCTGACACTACTAGACAACAGGGACATGAGGTGAATACTGCAATATTATGCTTTTACAAAATTCACATGCTAATGAGAAGTGAAAGAGATCAGAGCACAACACCTGGGTGATGTGTCCTAAGGAAGGGCTATGTAGAAGTGCTATGAGATTCTAGGGAAGGAAATGCCTAACATTATTTCTGGGAGACAGAGACGGTGTGACGGGAGAAATACAGACTGAGTCTTAGAAGCATGGCAGTCATGAACCAAACAAAGAAAGGAGATCAAGTCATTCTGGTGAAGAATAACAACCACAAACACAGAGAGTGCTAAAGTGGGCCAGAAAGAGGCAAATGTTTTGGAAAGAGCTACTCTATGCTCAAGAGGTAGAGTAGGAAATGGTTAAGGCTAGAATGCCAAGGAAGTTCATTCACTTCAAACCCATTAGGTGCCTACAACATACTGGTGCCATGATGAGGATAGAAAGATACAATAGCGTCATCCCTGCATTCGAGGATGTACAGGTACTCAGAATTCGGGCTGATGTCAGATTGTAAAGAACCTTTCAGGCCATGTGACAATGTCCTGATCACTTTGACTGACTCTGTCAATAACATTACAGTGCTAACTGCCAGGCTCTGTCTCACACAAAAGGAAAGGGCACAGAAGCATAAAAAGGAAAGGGCACATTCCTGTCCTTGAGAAGCTTAGTTTAATAGAGAAATAGACATAACAGCTAGTCCATCTCCAGTCCTTAAATGTAATTAAATCCTGGAAAGGAATTAAATCCATGCACATTGTTGATACTTTACAGATATCTCGAATTCAGTATCCCGAACTGAACACATCATCTTACATTGATCAAGCACAACCCTTTTCAGTATTCCCATTCTGGTTGATGTCAGCACCATCCATATTAAGATGCAAGCTACGACAGAGTCGTCAATCTTGATGTTCCCCTCTCCCTTGTCACCTGCTTGCAATCAAGAACCAGATGCTGCAACCCAACTTTCTCAACCTCACACAGGTCCACTGTTCCCCACCTTCGTTCCAGTGTCTAGTCCAGACCGAATCCCTTATCTGACCTACTCCACTGGTAGCCTCCCGACTTGTCTCTCCATACCAACTCTTGCTCTCCCAAACATTTTCCTAACAGTAGCCACAGTAATCTTTTCCAAACAAAAATTACGACAGGTCTCATTGTTCCCTCAATGATTTCTCAATGCTTTTTGGATAATAGTCTAGGGTATTGCAGCAGGATTAATTTATTTTAGGGTTCTGTGACCTTAGCCAGCAAAAGTTAGTAGAACTGGAAAGGGTCTAATCAGTCCCTGATTCATGTACTGTGTTTACCTTGAACTGCAGAATGTCATTCTTATGGTAAGTTACATCCAGGTGAAGGGAGTTCACGGGTGTGGAAGGGAAGGCAGTGGCATAAACAGAAGATTTTAAGGAGATGTCAGCTGTGGCTCCATGTGAATTATATTGAACATCATTGACAGAATATAGATCATTGACAAAATAGCAAAACGGGACTCCAGAAGAATTGGATGCCTGAAAAGTGAGGCCAAAGTCATAGATCAGCACAGTATGTGGTCTGAAAGTTCTCTAATCTAAACAGCATTACAAAAGTCATTTTATAGGGCAATAAAGCCACCCTATCACTTACAATTTGGCAATAGCATAAATTTAAATTCCTGGTCTCCAAGCAAAATATTTTTTTTTAAAAGTCTTACACATGTCTCCACCTACTTGTCACATTCAGAGCAGGTCCCTTTGAAAGTCCTTTCTTTGTATGCATTTTAAGTAATTATGTAAGTAACAGTGCTATGCTTATGAAACTACAGATTAGGTGTGGAGATTTCATGTGCATGAACCCCATCAGCAAGGTTACCTCCCAGATGCAGCCACGGGCAGTGCAGTTTTCTGCAGAAGCACCATTCTCATCAGGGTAACAGTCTATTTTTTCTTCGTCCCTTATTTTTATGTCCCACTCCACTGTGTATGCTTCTCCCAGGACAAGATTGATGTCTGTGATAATGGCAACCTGTAGGAATGCGGGAATCACAAGGAAATTCATCTTTAGGAGAAAGGCCTTGCAAGATCCGAGACTTATATTTTAAGAAAAAAAAAATAGAAATTAGATGAGACTTTCAAACATCCAAGCAACACATGACTTGAGCTTACAAGAAGGGAACTTTACAGTGTGGGAATCTATTTAGCAGCAACAGGGCAAACGTCTCCACTCTAGCAGAATCTTATACACAGCATGATGAAAACAGTTAGGTCAAATAGAACCTGTCATGATCATTCCTTATTCTTTTCTACCCTGACTCCTCTTAGCCCTCTGAATCCTGTCAGGAAGGCTCTCTTTTGCACTTCCTCTTTAGCATGACATATGGTGTCATCCCAAAGTGAGCTGATCCTCTTGATCTTCAACCCCCAAACCAGTATCCCCCATTAGCCTGGAATGGTAGAACGAACACAGCAAGAAGAATCACATGACCTTGTTATCAGGCCCACATTTCTTTAGAATGTTGAACAAATAATTTCTTTTTTTTATTTTTTAATTTTAATGTGTATATAGTAGGTATATATATTTATGGGGTATATGAAATATTTTGATTCAAGCATACAATGCATAATAATCACATCAGGGTAAATTGGGTATTATATTTCATTTATTTGGGTTTCAATTTTAACAACAGCAAAACTGATAAGTTAAAAAATATCATTATATTTTTTTCCATTTCTAACATCCCAGGCTCCTCATTTCTCTGAGCCCAAAGGCTCCAAATTTGAAACCTTCTTTGAATCCTATTAATTCAAATATTTAATATTTTTCTATTTATCATTGACGCATCTTTAAACACCACTTCTCAATTTAAAGTTATCACTTCTCTGGAGTAATAAAATCGCACTCTAAAATCGCAATCTAAAGATTATCATCCTTCTCCCAGTCTCCTACCAGTCTAAACCATCTTGTACTTCCCTGTTTAACTAGTCTCCAACCCCCACTCTCATTCCCAACAGTGCTCACAAACAGCAGCACAGCCTACATTCAAGGATCAATATGAGACTCTTTAAGAATTAAATCAAGTTGGTACCTAAGACCCTCCAAAATCTGATCACAAGTTTCCTATCCAAACTAGTCGTTTTTGAAAACTGAATCTTAGCTATGCTAGTCATACAAAATAAACAGTTTAATAATGTAAGGCTGTTCCACACTTTCCTAACTTGGCTCTTCTTGTGTCTTATCATAATTATTATTCTATTTTTGGGAAATGGAAGTGAAACCAGTTAGAGAGAGCAGAACACTGAGAGGCAGAGAAGGGAATAGAAAGGAAAACACCCAACTCATTCTAGCTCTGGGTACCTTATTTTTTTTCCCAGCCCTCTAACTTCCCCATAACAAGACTCAAAGGTGCTCTGGTCCTTCAGGAACCCATGCAACCTTGGCAAGAAAGAACACCATGATGCTATGGAGGATTCTCAATATACCATCTCAACAAAATGGTTTTTACCTTCAGNAAAAAAAAAAAAAAAAAAGTTTCACACATGTCCCCAACTACTCTTCACATCCAGATCAGGTCCCTTTGGAAGTCCTTTCTTTCTGGGAATTTTAAGTAGTTAGGTAAGTACCAGGGCTATGCTTAAAAAAGGACAGATTAGGTGTGGAGATTTTCATGTGCATGAACCCCATCAGCAAGGTTACCTCCCAGATGCAGCCACGGGCAGCGCAGTTTTCTGCAGAAGCACCATTCTCATCAGGGTAACAGTCTATTTTTTCTTCGTCCCTTATTTTTATGTCCCACTCCACTGTGTATGCTTCTCCCAGGACAAGATTGATGTCTGTGATAATGGCAACCTGTAGGAATGCGGGAATCACAAGGAAATTCATCTTTAGGAGAAAGGCCTTGCAAGATCTGAGACCTTTTTTTTGGGGGGGGGAATAGAATTCAGACGAGACTTTCAACCATCCGACCAATATATGACTTTAGCTTATAAGAATAGAGCTGTACAGTGGGGGAATCTATTTAGCAGAAACAGGGCAAACGTCTCCTCCTTAGCAGAATCTTGTACACAGCATAATGAAAACAATTTGGTCAAATAAAACCTGTCATGATCATCCCTTATTCTTTTCTACCCTGACTCCCCTTAGCCCTCTGTGTTTTGTCCGAAGGCTCTGTTCTGCAATTCCTTTTTAGCATGATATATGATGTTTTCCCAAAGTGGGCTGATCCTCTAGCTCTCCAGTCCCCACACAAGCATCCCCCATTGGCGTGGAGTGGTAGAAAGAACACACCAATAAGAATCATATGACTTGCTTATCATGCCTATATTAATGTTTGACAAATTATTTTTTAATTTTAATTGGTACATAGTAGTTAATATATATTTGTGGGCCAAATGAAATATTTTGCACTTCCCAAGGTAAAGTTCTCATTTGTCTGGAGTAATAAGATCACATCCTAAAGGTTATCATCCTCCTCCCAATCTCCTCCCAGTATAATCCAACTTGTTCTTCGCTGTTCTACTAGTTCCCAACCCCCACTCCCACTCCCCAAAAACATTCAAAAACAGCAGCGCAGCCTTCATTCAAGGATCAATATGAGACTCTTTAAGAATTAAATCAAGTTGGTACCTAAGACCCTCCAAAATCTGACCACAAGTTTCCTATCCAAACTAGTCATTTTTGAAAACTGAATCTTATCTATGCTAGCCATAAAAATAAACAGTTTAATAATGTAAGGCTGTTCCACACTTTCCTAACTTGGCTCTTCTGGTGTCTTATCATAATTATTATTCTATTTTTAGGAAAAGGAAGTGAAACCAGTTAGAGAGAGCAGAACACCGAGAGGCAGAGAAGGGAATAAGAAGGAAAACACCCAACTCATTCTAGCTCTGGGTACCTTATTTTTTTTCCCAGCCCTCTAACTTCCCCAAAACAAGACTCAAAGGTGCTCTGGTCCTTCAGGAACCCATGCAACCTTGGCAAGAAGGAACACCATGATGCTATGGAGAATTCTCAATATACCATCTCAACAAAATGGTTTTTACCTTCAGATTGGAATCATAAGTGACTGTAGGAGAAGTCTGACTTGGGACACCATTGTGTTTCACTGTAACATTGCTAGGTTCCTGTGTCCCAAGAATTTTAATCTCATTAAATGCTAAATTGTTGGGGTCCTTGTAGGTTGATTGTGAAATATTCACCTCCAAGCGGTTCTGCAAAACAAGTAAGTCTAAGGATGCACAAAGATATGCCCGTAATACACAGATTCTCAAGTCACTCCAACATTTCATTCCAGACCTGATACCCCCCATCGCCCTGCATTCCTCTCTGCTTTCTCTACTAGTGTGTTCTCATAAGTACAGCATTATTTTAATAATCCTCTAATTTTAAAAAATCATGAAAACACATAGACATTTAAAAACTGAATTTAGAATTACTAGCTGCTATATTAATGCCTCCTTTTGAAAACATCCATGAATTCATACGTACAAATGTGTTCACCTATAGCCAATAATGCATAAAGAGTTACAAATATAATCACGCATATACACAAGCACAGATGAGCTAATGGTCAGACAAAAGCCCACACCTAAGATTCATAAAAACATGCTACTCACTTGAGTGACAGAAAACTCACAAAAAAGATACACTTTATTGGCCACAGTATCTGAAAGTGAGAGAAAGACAAGTCAGATTCTGGTCTGCCTACCACAGAAAAAATTTCACCCTGCCACTCCTTTCAGCTACATCTTGATGTCACCAATGGCAGTACTTCCTTTTCCTTATGGATGAATAATATCACATTATATATGTGTATCACAATTCTTTATTCATTCATTCATCAATGTACACTTAGACTGTTTCTGTATCTCGGATGTTGTGAATAATGCTGCAATAAACATGGAAGTGAGTATATCTCTTAAAGATACTGATTCTGTGTCCTCTGGATATAAACACAGAAGTGGGATTTCATGGACTGTAAAGAAGTTCTACTTTTAATTTTCTGAAGAACTTCCATACCATTTTCTATAATGGTTGTACCAATTTACATTCTCACCAACAATCGACAAAAAATCCATTTTCTCCACATCCTCACCAGCACTTATCTCTTGTCTTTTTTTATAATTTCCATGCTAACAGGTGTGAGGTGATATCTCACTGTGATTTTTGGTTTGCAATTCTCTGTCATTCACTGACGTTGAGCATCTTTTCTCATACCATTTAGTCACTTGAATGTCTTCCTTGGAAAAATATCTGTTCAATTCCTTCACGCTGTTTTTAATTGGGTCATTTGATCTTTTGCTACTGAGTTACATGGGTTCCTTATATATTTTTTATATTAATCTCTTCTCAGATAGGTGGTTTGCAAACATTATTATTCATTCCTTAGTTTGCGTTTTCACTTTGTTGATTGTTTATTTTGCTATGCAGAAGTCTTTTGGTTTGATGTAGCCATGCTTGTTTATTTTTTGGTATTTTGCCTTTGCTTTTGGTATCATATCCAAAAAGTCACTGCCAAGACTAAAATGTCAAGGAGGTTTTTTACCTGTTTTCTTTTAGAAGCTTTACAATTTCAGCCCTTACATTTAAGTTTTTAATTTTATTTTTCACAGTAGCCAAGATATGAAAACAACCTAAGTGTCCATCAATGGATGAATAAAGAAATTATGATACATATATACAACAAAGTATTATTCGGCCATGAAAAAAAAAGAAAGAAAATTTGGCCATTTGCAACAGCATGGATGAATCTGGAGGACATTATACTAAGTGAAATAAACCAGAAACAGAAAGTCGAATACTGCATGGTCTCACTTATATGTGGAATCTAAAAAAGTTGAGTTCATAGAAGCAGGCAGTATAACAGTGGTTCTTAGAACCTGAGGGTGGGGGAAATCAGGAAATGATGGTCAAGGGTACAAACCTTTAGTTATTAGACAAAAAAGGTCTGAGGATCCAGTCTACAGTATGGGTGGTGATGGATGTGTTCATTAAAATAGCTGTGGTAATCATTATACTATGACTATATATATATTAAATCCTCACTTTGTTCACTTTGAATAAATTTCATCTTTATTTTCCAATTAAATATTTTACAATTAAATAAATAAATAAAATTTTAAATCTATGTATTGGATTAGATTGACAAGAATCTCCAAGGTCAAGCCATTGTTTTTCCTTCTCTTTCCTACTGGAGCATTGAAAAGGTTCCCTCCCAAGGGCTTTCCAGGCATGTGTCTCAAGGGAGTCTATTTCCTAAACTTGAAGCACAGGTATTTCCTAAACTTGAAGCACAGGAGCCATGAATAGGCTAAAAAGTATGGCTAGATGAGCACACACCAGAACAGTATATTCTCACTGCCTCTATGGCAGGTCTATGATTTTTACCTCATCAACATTTGCTCATAAGAATTTGGAGAGGAAGACATTAACATTGACTTACAGGAACAGTCTTGAAACCATCTCTTCTGAGCACCCATTGACAATAAAATGAGAGCCTATTATAGATATCACTGGCCAATGGGAGAATTGTCACAAATAGAAATGTATTTTTCTTTCTTTTGTAGTTCATCTACCTCTACCTCTGAACCATGCAACCAGAAACGAAGGACTTAAGTGACTCTTGCTACTGTATCTGGTGAGATTTCTCCCAAAGCTGAATGACTAGCAGGAGTGAAGGACCATAAGTCACAGGTGCTGGCTTTAAAAATGCAACATTATCATAACAGTGCTCACCCTTCATTTCCCCATCATCCCAGAAAAGTTCTCCTTTTGCTTCTTTGTTCTCATCTAGGGCAATGATAAGACCAAGAGGGTTCTTTCGGCTGTGGGAAATGAGATTCAAGAGACAAAAACAGGAGTCAGAGAATTTTGCCAACTGAGCTGAGAATGTTTCCATCAAATTTCAAATTGGAGAAGTTACTAGCAGCAGATGGTTCTGTTTTCTTCAGTTACAAACACAAAATTGACAGAAGCATCTATCTTTAATATCAACAGTGTCACAGGAGGTAGAAATATCCTAAACAATAGCAATAACATCTATGTTGGAGGCAAGAATTCAAGCACCAGAGTCACTGAAATTGTGCAAATGAAAGCTACTTCTGCAACTACTATTTAGAACACAGGGTATGAGAAAAGAAAGAAATCTTAGGCAATAACTGGTTCAGTCAGGTCACTTTAGCAATGATACCCTCGGGAGAAGTGTCCAGTGCTGTGAGGAAGATACGTTTTAGCCTGCCTAAGGAGTATGTTGTTTTCATACTCAGAAAACAACAACATACAATAAGATCCATCTATTTAATGGTAACTGATCTGATTATTGGTTATTAGTTTGTTTTAAAAGAAAAACAAATCATTCTAATTATCTACTTTATAATTTAGAATAGGAAACACAAAACATTTCTCAAAGACATGGTAAAATAGATGGACATAGAGGAAGAAGGGGAGGGAGACAGCAATTTTCATTTGGAATCTCTCCTCACTCTGTCACTCCTCTAGGCAACCTCCCAGTTTCCCGGATCCTTGAAGGAAACTAACATGATGCCAGTTGGAAGTAATTCCTTGCTCGCAAACAGAGAAGAAGGCAAATCATCTCTGGAGGAATTAGACCCACATTTATAAGGTATCACAGCTTAAAAACAAAAGATCACCAAGCACACAAGGTAATATGTCAACATAAAAGTAAGTCAGCAAAGACAGCTAACAATAGACTTAGATTTACCTAAACACTTCAGATAATACAATTTTCAAGCACAGAATATATAACTATGATTGAAATGCTAATAGTATTAAAGAAGAAAGAGAAAATCATCTAAGGAGCAAATACATACATATATTATCTGCCTGATAAATAAATACATATATATGAAAAACGACTAGAAACTTGGAAGTGGCAGTGTTTCCTCTGCTGGAAGATTAAAGAAAGATTTCCTGCTGATAAAATGTAAGTTCGATTTGGATCATTAAGACTGTACCAGGCAAAGAATGTTGAAAAGAAGAAGCGCAAAATCTCAAATGCAGTAAAATACATAGGTATGTTTGGGAAATAGCAAGTTTTTTGGCATGGCTGGTCTGTACGTACATGAAAGTGTGGCAGGAAATATAGAGTTGTCAAGGTAATGTGGAACCAGGTTGTGATTGGCTTTGAATACCCTATTATTGAAAGAGTTTGGACTTCAAGCCTGGGAGCAACCAGTTGAGATTTTCATTTTGGAAAAAATAAATTTGGTATTAGTGTGCAGAACAGCTTGAAGGTGAACAGTTAGAAAAAGGAAGCCAAATAGTATTGGATTTAGGAATATTTTCCATTAGTATCGTAAAAAGTCTACAATTTGGAAAATTAAAGCAGTAAGAGAGGTTCAAAAGAAAAGACAGGCATCTGGCTTCCAAAGAACTCCTAGTCTATTAAAGACAAATAGGCTAATACTTTCAAAGGCATGAAGATATAAATGTACACCTCTTCCATACAGATGGAATCTAGAATGTTGGAATCAATTGAGTATAAAGGAAAATTCAGTGACATGGAGATTTGAGGTTTGCAGGAGGTAACTTTTGAATCAAATTTTGAATCACAAGAAAGAAATCTTAGTAGGAGAAAAGAAATAGGAAGCTGAGATTTCTAGGAGGGTGGAAAGTGAATCCTGACCCTCTAGAAATAAGAAAGAGTGAGTTAAAAGCAGAGAAATATGGATAGGCTATGTGGCCAATGCAGATAGAGGGATCAACTGACATGGTTTGCCCAGAATTGAGAAGCAACCCAAGATGGGAGACTTTTGGTGCTAAAACTGCAACAGTCCTGGGCAAACCAAGAAGGCTGATCACATGGCTATTAGCGTGTTCCAAAAAGAAATTCAAAGGGTTTAAGGAAGTAAATAAACTACAGTCTTTCAAAATCTATCTGGATACAGCTCTAAATCAACAGCTTCTTGAACAGAGGTTGTGGGAAGTTCAAGAACAGATTTAGAGGACACCCCACTCCTCCTCCTTCACACATACCCCGGTACCCTTCCTCCCCAAACTCCACATGGTGTTTCAGCATCATGGTGCTTGGTCAACACATGGGGACAGAAATGACTGGTTTTGTCAGCATCCTCCTTAAAGGACACTCCAGCCATGCTATACCTGGCCAGAGTGGTTGTATTTGGCTGCTGTGTGGGGAAGATGTAGCCTCCTCGAAGGTGAAGTCCAATTTTGTCTCCAGGAAGCTCCATCTCGACTTTTTGCTTCCTCCATCTCACTTGGCCCCCCTGATGCATGCAGATAAATCAAACACAGTGGCATGACAGCACATAGTCCTTCACTGATTATCTACATGCCAAGTGATCCACAGCTCTCTCCTCTTTCCAATTAGCTGAATTACTGTCTAGCCAGGCGATCAAACAAGAGAAGTGAAAAAATCAGGAACAACATTTTCTGCCATCAGTTGGGGGTTTGAGAGAACATTTATGCCGTGCTGAGGCTATTTGCCATAAATGACATAAACCAATAGTTCTAAACAAGTAATGTGATTCCTGATGAAGCTCACATTGTCCATCAGTTCCTCCAATATTCATTTAAGAGATACTATGGGCTAGGTGCAGTGGCTCACGCCTATAATCCCAGCACTTTGGGAGGCCGAGGCGGGCAGATCACCTGAGGTCAAGAGTTCAAGACCAGTCTGACCAACATGGAGAAACCCTGTCTCTACTAAAAATACAAAATTAGCCTGGCTTGGTGGTGCATGCCCGTAGTCCTAGCTACTCGGGAGGCTGAGGTAGGAGAATTGCTTGAACCGGGGAGGCAGAGGTTGCGGTGGGTCGAGATTGCACCATTGCACTCCAGCCTGGGCAAAAAGGGCGAAACTCTATCTCAAACAGACAACAAAAAAAGAGATACTATGTCAGTCTCTAAATTATTGTAGAATAAAGTATATGAAGGTATTTTTTCACATTTCATCATGACAGATGTTAGGGGTTTAGGTTAACTTTATATCCCGGTTCTGCTATGAAATTACAGAAAACACTACAAAAATACTCCTCAGCCTGTAGATGATTTCTCTCTCTCCAGATAGGTCGCTTGTCTATGCTGCAGTCTTAAGTAGTAGAAGAAAAGTCAAAGCTACTTACCGTTTCATAGTCATACCAGACAGCATCAGGCACATATGCCGTCACTTTCTCCACACCCTGAAATTAAAACAATATAGTGTCCCCTGAGGGAAATAAAACAGATTTCATTTTATTCTCTAGGGAACTTCTTAATCATATATGGAGAGGGTGGGAATGCCCTTTCCTTTCTCTGTTATTAATCCTTTCTTCTGCCTCTCCTCTAATACAAATAATAGAAGCTATAACTTGGCAACTCAGAGAGAAATCCCAAAGGTAACCACATTAGAAATAATAATAATAATAAAACATGTATGGTGATAAACATTCCAGTTTTATATGATTACCTCATTTAATTTTCCCAACATTCCCAAATGATAGGTACTATTATTATTATTATTGTTACATCTCTACAGATGAGAAGTCAGCACAATAATCACCCCAGATCACACAGGCTCAAAGTGGCAGAGAAAAAACAATCACATCCTGGTCAGCTTGACTTTAGAGTGAGTGCTGGGTCACTGCTCCATCCTGCTTCTAGGTCATAGAGCAAGTCAGGATCTGCTATGAGAATCTGACAACAAATAGGACCACTCCTGATATAGTTTGGATGTTTGTCTCTGTCCAAATCTCACACTGAAATGTAATCCCCAGCGTTGGAGGTGGGGCCTGGAGGGAGGTGACTGGATCACGAGGGAGGATTTCTTATGAACAGTTTGCACCATTCCCTTGGTTCTGTCCTCATGAGAGTGAGTGAATTCTCGTAAGATTTGGTTGTTTAAAAGTGTGTGGTGGCCGGGCGTGGTGGCTCATGCCTGTAATCCCAGCACTTTGGAGGCCAAGGCAGGCAGATCACCTGAGGTTGGGAGTTTGAGACCAGCCTAGCTAACATGGTGAAACCTCACCTCTACAAAAGATACAAAATTAGCTGGTGTGGTGGGGGCACCTGTAATCCCAGCTACTCGGGAGGCTGAGGCACAAGAATTGCAAGAACCTGGGAGGCGGAGGTTGCAGTGAGCCAGGATTGTGCCACTGTACTCCAGCCTGGGCAGCAAAGTAAGACTCTGTCACAA